ATATTTGTCTTCTGTGAGTATTCCTCATTTTGATTTGCAAGGCACTCAGTAAAAGTTACCTGGCATGTAGTTATACCTTCACCTACTTTATCCCATTGTACTACCGAACGTTTAATGTTCGTATTCATGTCATGTTCATCTGAAAAGTTGTGAAATCGAATGTATGTTTCTCAGCACGAATATCTGCAAAAAAGCCCACGTGAGGCCCCGGGGTAGAATGTGTCCTCAGCACCCCATTGCTGGTCGTAAGAGGCGACCGAATTTGGCAACCTGTTTGCCGTGGGTTGCGCCCCTGTGTCGATGGAGAACGTGATTCCAGTTGTTAAGGGCACTGGAGCCAGGAACAGCTGTCCCCTTTGCCCCACACACTACTTTGATCCTTACTATACCTCGATGTGTAGTTGAATTGGCCCGATTCTATCAATCGGCTGGTCACTCCATGCCCTGTGCATATCATATCAAACTATTTTTTTATCAAAATATTATATAATAACCTTGATGAAGTTCTCTGCCAGAAGAGGGCGGCCGGGTAGCCTAGTGGTTAAAGCGTTCGCTCGTCACGCCGAGGACCCGGGTTCGATTCCCGACATGGGTACAATGTGTGAAGCCCATTTCTGGTGGCCCCCGTCGTGATATTGCTGGAATATTGCTAAAAGCGGCGTAAAACCATACTCACTCACTCTTACACCGTGGCAAAACCGTTACTCATTCCGTCCCTAACACCTTCTAAAAGCTATTCAGCTGCCGTCTCTTCTTCACCAGTTTCAGTTACCAAAGTAACTATGGTCTCCATACAATACCATCTCTCTTCTATCTCTTGGTTGAAGAATGACCAAATTACCATCAAAGACACCATTCAGGCTTCTCAAAACTCTCCAATGATACCGACATCTGCCACCCAAACAATACTTTCAATCAATATCGTCTGATCAAATATCACCACTTAGAACCAGAACCAATCCCTGTAACCGAAATAGAAATATTTCAGGCTGAAGCCCATTTATCAAAAAAGGCTAAAAAGCAGATGAGGAGAAAAGCCAGGACACTCCAACACTTGGCGGTGCCTTCTCCTGTTGAACATCTGTTGAGGTTCATAAATCCGTTTGAGCCCCTGGAGATGGACGTCACTCCCACACAACAAGTCCTTGGGAGTGGGCGTACCTCCTGCTCTATATCCCGAGTTGAGCAGCCATGAGTTTCTCAAGTCAATTCATACAATGGGTGAGTGAGTGAGTGAGTTGGGTTTAACCCCGCTTTTAACAATATTCCAGTTATATCGCGACATGTCAGTTTAATGTGGGAGGAAAGCCCGAAGTGATGCAGGTCTAAGTCGTTTACCACTTCAGTGAAACCCACGAGCACGGGAATGGTGCTGACAAACCTAGAAACATAATCGGGCGAACCGGGATTCGAACCCACAATCATAGGTTTCTGGCAATCACGCAACTCTGCACAGCGAATCGCGGCGCCCTAGACGACTGGGCCATCCGTGACCCCAATCATATACAATGGAATTGCAGAGGACTCCGGCAAAATTAAAATGATCTCCAACTCCAACAAGATTTTAAACCATCAGCTTTATGTCTTCAAGAAACCGACTTGAAAAATACCGATCAAATCGACATCAGGCAGTTTAATTTCAATCATTTCTTTTCACCTCCAGTGGTTAAGGCCACTGGGGGTTCTTCAGTGTTGGTGAGCAAGGTGTCATTTACAGTCCTGTTCCTTTCGATACTCCTCTCAAAGCCGTTGCTTTCTGAATAACATTACACATTATTGTCTTTACTTTGTGTTCTCCATATACATTGTACTCCTCCATCTTCGTATATTCAGCCAAATGATCTTCAAGCACTATATGACCAGCTTCCTAAGGTCTGTATCATAATGGGGGATTAGAATGGACATAATCCACTATGGGGTAGTAATCATACCAGCAGTAAGGGGACGAGTCCAGAAACGTATATTTCCAACAATGCTTTTTCCCTTTGAACGATAACTCTAAAACATAGTTACATTCTGGTACAGGTACATACTCTTTTCTTGATTTGACCATTACGGACTCTATGACTTGGTTGATGCATGTTATGGATCCAAATTGCGTGGGACCGCCTCCGTGGTCTAGTGGTAGAGCGTCCGCCTGGAGAGCGGAAGGTCCGGGGTTCGATACCCGACCGCGTCATTCTAAAAGACGTGAAAAGATAGTACTTGTTGGTACCCTGTCTGGCGCTCGGCATTAAGGGGCGAAAACAAGGACTGGTCGGCTTGGAGTCAAGATCCTGTGTCTGAGTGGGGTATTCATGTTAAACTGTGGGATGGTATCTCAGTGAGCTAGCACTATAAATCAGCATCAGTCGGGACTAGTACAAGCAGCCACACAAACACACACACACGCACATGAATGTCGCTATATAAGTGCAATAATCTTGGACGCGACGTTAAACCCCATTTCACCTCACCTCACCAAATTGCGTGGGTCAATGCTCATGATATTACTCGGGGGCACGAGAATCCCAGTCGTCTAATGCGTCGCGGTTCGCTGCGCAGAGGTGCGTCCCTTGGCCACGCCAGAAACCTATGATTGTTGGAATCCCGGTTCGCCCCGATTATGTTTCTAGGTTTGTCAGCACCATACCAGTGCTCATGGCTTTCAACGAAGTGGTAAACGTCCGAGACCTGCATCACGTTGGGCTTTCCTCCCAAATCATGCTGACACACCGTGATATAACTGGAATAATGTTAAAAGCAGACTTAAACCCAACTCTCTCACTCATGATATTAATCACTGGATTGTCTAGTCCAGACTCGATTATTACAGACCGCCGTCATATAGCTGGAATATTGCTGAGTGTGGCGTTAAACAGCAAACCAACCAACCATTACAGACTGTAATCTGTTGAATGAATTTGAGTGATGAGTCCACGATGACCTCTTTTCGAGTGACCACTTTCCATCCTTTCTAAAAACGTTGACCCCATCTGGTGTTCCTCTATGATCACGATGGAACTTTATGAAGACAAAGTGGCCTTTGTTTGGAATACTGTCCTCAAACACCTGATTTGTTTATCAACCGTTACGATCCTGATCATGTCCGAATACTCTCTGATGAACTTTGCAAAATTGTTGATGAATGTATTCCAAAGTCCTCTGCAATTCCACACATCCGTAAACCACAATGACTTCAAACAAACAAGCAAGGAAGGCACGGAAAATGGCTGAAAACGATTTCCGTTGCCATCCCCATGATCCATAATTTTAATACCGTCATTTTTTTTATTTCTACCTATATTCTAAATAAACGCCAACGTCTTGGCAAACTCATGTCTAAAATAAACATACAATGTCTAATGTATGGAACATTATTCAGAAAAATACAAGGTAAGAGTTCTAATTCCAGCATCCACCATTTCAAGAATGAGGATGTACAACTAACGGATAAATCTGATATTGCGAAAAAACTTGGTTAAACTGTGGCTAAAAATTCTTCCTCAACGAACTATGCAAAAGCAGCACTCAACAAATCTCTAACACCTCTTGTGATTATAAAACCACACTGATTATTAACCTAAGATGAGAGAACCACCCTATCAAGCATGTCCTGCTTAACTGTGTTGGATTTTTCCATCACAAGTGATAACTATTTCAAGGTTTCATCCATAAAGGATATTTTTTTTTGATCATATGTTTTGTATGAAATAAAAGACCTTTAAAATTGGTATGATGAATTTCTATCTGAGTTTGTAAGTGGCTATTTCCTCGAAGGGAGTTGAAGTAGTGTCAAATTATTGTTCCCCTGAGGGGATAACGTTTGTTCGTGTCATAAGAGTATTTTGCTTACTATTCCTATAAGCGTAGAATATTTGTAATTTCAATTGTGTGTAACATTACGTACAAACGCCAGCCGCTGAAGGCATGATGTAAATCTTGCTGTGGTCCATGCAGGTAGCAAAGGTACTGTAAATAAAGCGACAAAACGCTTTCAATATCCAATAGAAATCTCTGCATAAAGCAGATTCGATTGAAAAATTCCGACTATATCTTGAGCGTTTCTTAATGAATCACTAACAAATAGTTATGATACCTGGTATTCCCTGGTATGGTGATCTACCTTCAGTTTCTGGCGATCTACAGCCCTTTTTCATATTGTATTGTGGAATATAGTGATATCTTTTTATGGTTGTAAGCTAGTCTTAAGTATCAATCTGTGATATTCTAGTTATTTACTGTCCATCGATGACAGGTTTTTTATTTAGTCTTAATATATGTATACTTAATAAATAACTTCTCGTCATAACATGGCTGAAATATAGCCGATGTTACGTTAAATGTTAACTTACTCACTCACTCTGTATTAACCCCAGCTTTAATTTCAAATTTAATCGTATGTAAGTGTAGTAACGTCCGTGCCAGCACCAGGTTCATTTAAAAGCGTTGTCTGTGTAATTCCTTTGCACAAATTGAAGTGCATGCCACATATATTCTCAGGCAATGGCATTAATCAATTCGTTGGCAATACATTAATGCGTATTTACGTTGCACATACATTCCAGGGACATGACACATTTAAATGTTTCCGGTCTACTCATATTGCAGAAAGCAAAGAAACATACAGTACTTGTCACTAAAAAATATATTAACGGCGCTTTGGAAACACTGATTACTGAGCATTTAATAAAAGATTTTTTCCACGGCAATCTGTTGTCATTACCACCTCCATTATTTGTACGTAACTGCAGTAGGTGCTATAAAGAGATACTGCTTTGTCTAATGAAGGTGGGGACAAGTTTTACTATAGAATCATTAATATTAATCTGTTTACTTACATTTTCACTAATGGGTGTGCGCAAGGCGCCTTCCATTATTGATTGCTTAATCGTGTTGACTCGTATTCCAGTTCAAAGGTTCATTGTGATAATTTAAGCAAAATTACCAATGGATAAACACCTGCCTGACAATATCTGTCATTTGGAACATCACCACTGAACACTGAAATCATGTTTTACATGCCGGCTAAAATCCTTAACTTAGTCGTCATATTATTAATCGCCAGTACCTGTGATAGCACTGAGTCGACATTAGGAAGACTGAAGGCATATCTCCAAGGGGAAAGTGATGCTTATGGCATCAGTGTTGATCTCTCCGATGACAAACAGGTCAACATAAGTATGTTGCTGATGTCCATCTCCAATCTCAATGCTGCCGAGCAGATATTCACTTTCAGTGCTGGTATCCGCATGACGTGGCTCGACCAAAATCTGGCTTGGAACAAAACTGATTATGATAATATTACGGAAGTGACCGTCTCTGAGAACTTTGTATGGATACCGACCATTGCCATCCCTAACGGTATCGACAGTGCTACCTTGGCTTCAAAACAATCTCCAAAGATATCCAGTAATGGAATTGCATCACTTCAATTCCTTGAGAGTTTAAAGACCAGTTGTCAAATAGACATCACTCGGTACCCGTTTGATCAGCAGCGATGTAGCATCCTGTTCACGCCTGTAAATACTTTCGATCTTGGAGTTGACAGAACCGGTTCTATTATTACAGGATTACCTTCTTTCTTTATTGAGAACAATGAATGGGAGTTGGTTGACATACTTGCCAAGTACGCAGACGTCCAAATGAAACAGATATCAAGTCTGGTATCGTTTGAGTTCTTTTTGAAACGCAAGAGCATGTTCTATATAGTTAGTATCATCTTTCCTATGGCTCTTCTCTCTCTGCTCAACGCCTGTGTGTTCCTCCTACCAGCTGACTCCGGAGAGAAGATGTCCTACCTCATCTCAATATTTGTGTCCTATGCTGTGTTCATGAACTTCGTCAATGACTCGATCCCCAAGTCTGGAGACGTGTGTCGACTGTCTGTGTACCTGACCCTCATCCTCTGTCAGAGCTGCCTGGCTATCATCACCACTATGGCCACACTCAACGTCCGCAATAACGGCGTCTTATGTCAACCCAAGACGGATGTACAGACGGAACATGACAAAGTAAACACGAAAATCACTGAACGTCCGTATGTGAAGTCTGCGTCAAAGGTCCGCCGCGCAGACCACGTTTTTTTCGGGGTCTTCCTGCTTCTGGCACTGATGTCCCTGCTGGTGTTTTGTGTATAAGAAGGAACTTCGACGTCCGATCCCCCACTGTGTTATCATCACCACCACGGCCACACTCAATGTCCGCAATAACGGTTTCCTATTTCAGAACAAGACGGGTGTACAGCCAGCGAACGACAATGTAAAGACGAACAACGCTGAAAGTCTGCATGTGAAATCTGCCCAAGACGTCCGCCGCCCACATCACGTTTTGTTCGGGTTGTTTCTGCCTCTGGCACTGATGTCCCTACTGGTGTTTTGTGCATAGGAAGGAATTCGGCCGGATATCAATACCTGATTTTTCAAATGTGTAATTTGATTTTCAAATGTGGGATCCTTCAGTCATGTGTGTGAGACTCTATTGTTAACTGCAATGTAATTATTTGACACGTGGGCTGGCTTATAGTCAATATGTTGTGTTCCTCTTTTTGGAAAGTTACATTAAAGATATGTAAGACATGTCTAAATTGAATTACCTTGATGAATTAGGGACTGTTGTTCAACACGCAACCAGCATGATTCCAGTTATAATACGGCGGCCAGTAAATAATCTAGTCTGGTCCAGTCAAACCAGTGATTGGCAACATGAACAACATTCTAAGCATCTTGCGCACGCTCACGTTGAGAAGCCATTTCATTCTCTCTCTTAAATCCAACATGGAATTATGATCTGAAATCTTTCAAAAACGGTCAGACAGCCAATTCACTTCCACTTATTGATTATGGATTAAGGTGACACCATTCTAGGCCTTGGCAAGGCTTTCAAAACGCTTTATGATAGTCATGTTTTTCAGGTGAACAAATGACTTCCCTTTGCATGCATTTGTAACTAGCTGTGCCACGGGGGGGGGGGGGGAGCGGGATACGCTCACCTTTTCGCGAATACTGGTATCATCACTATTTGATAGTGATTCATAAGCTAATGCTTATGTACGCGTCAGAACTGAACAATGGCCCCTGCGTTTAGCAGAGATTTCTTATGAAACACCTTTGTTTAACCGTAAACAATGCTTATACAAAATCCATGGCTTTGCAGAAAATCAATGCATAACAACTCATGGAATAACAAACTGGCAGTTTGAATGGCGTACCTTCTACCCTTTGTGCAAATGTCACATTGCAGCAGGATAATGCCCATCCCCATGTTGCTCGTGACTTTTTGAGGCAGCATAGCATTGCTGTACTGCCATGTCCGACTGTTGTTCCAGACCTCTCACTCATGGAACATGTCTGGGATGAACTAAAACGACGCAAACGCCAAGACCAAAATCAGCCAGTAACGCAAGGTTAGTTTGGTTGGCATTTGAACCTTTAAATAATGTTGGTGACTTGTAACTGTTTATCAATATCCCTTTACGCTTCAAGACCAATGTCAAAATCCTTAACAGTGTGGTATCTGTGGAAAGAGCAGACACTGGGCAGTAATAACAAAGAAAGGTTAGGGGAAATAATGGTATAAAGAGTAAAAAATATAGAAAAAAAACAACGTGCATACATATAACGTGGCCGGGATGTTGCGCAAAACGTTTCCCAAAGTTACAAATACATTTTTCAGATCCTTGAGGTAGTAGTAGAACTAATAATTTGACCTATTTCAAGGGCTTCATTTTGGGTTATTTCGATACGACCCAAAGTTAAAAGTTATGTGTTGTAACCCCTGGTTGACGTCAGGATATGCAAGGGGTTGCTGAGGAGTTCTGAGCCTAAATATGAAAGATGTATGGGGTGCACCCTTCACAATTTGCATGTTTTACGTTCAATACTTTCCATACGTTCGATGTTTGAGTCAAATACACAACCAGATAGCCTATTTCTGGAGGCATCAAACTGAGGCATCGCTGTTGATGGAAATAAAAAAAAACAAAGGGCTATCATAATGTTCATCTCAAACTGAAAGGGCAATCTCCAACAGCCATCCATGCTGACATGGTTGTCAACTTTAGGAGAAGATGCTCCTTCCTGTGCTACTGTTTATAGGTGAGCAGCAGAATTCAGGAACGGAAGATGATCCAAGATCCATAAGACACTGAGGAATTCTTTCTATAAAGTACATGATCTGATTATGGATGACCGACGACTCACCACACGTCACATTGTCAATACAGAAGACAACTCTCATGAGAGAGTTGAGAATATTCTGATGAATGTATTGGGAATGACAATGAGGTTTCAGCAATCATCTCTTGTGATTTTACATCGGTTTGAAGCAGACCCAGCTGAATTGGTTTGAGCGATTTGTGACTTGGGTCTTGGGTTCTCAACCGTCAACTGGAGACTACACAACAGTGTCAAAGCATTGGAAAACATCTTCCCAGACACATGAACCGTCTGTTCTATCAGCTTTCAAGATAGATTTCTATTTCTGGGATTCCAGAAGCATTCTACCTGTGAACTACCTTATGTCAATCCGTTGTCACATCTATTACGGAATTACTGATATCTTGAATTGAATAGAAGATATCTTGGATGGAATGGAAGATATCTTGAATACAGATAATTGTAGATATCTGCAATAAATGATAAGATATCACGAAACGAGTTAAGGTTATGGTGAAGCTTGTTACTGATATCTTGAAAAGAATGGCTGATATCTTAAATTAGATTAATAACATAATGTGATTTAAAGATGTCAAAAAGTCATGTTTTGTTATGATATCAGTAATTCAATTCGAGATATATTGAAACTAAATACAGATATCGGTAATTAATTATTGATGTCTTCAATTGTTGCCATTATTAATAGATTTATATTTATAGATAGTTTCAAATACTTCCGTCAGTTAAGTACTCTTGGTACTTTCTAGGGAGAAGGGTTTTTAAATGTATCACTGCTGTCATAGTCACTCCCCCCAACTCCTCCGCGAATTGCTTGACTTGCTGTTGAGACTAGTTCTTGCACAAGTTGGGCATGGTTTGCCGCCATTTTGGAACGATAAGAATTTACGGATATGTAGCCATACCGGAAGTATTTGAAGATATCTGTTAATCTTTTCCCGAACTTTTCGGGACCGGAATAATTCTTTTGCTTTTCCTTCATGTTACCTAAATTATATTACAGACATCAACTATTGGTATAAAGATATCTTCACAATTATTGATAATATGTTTAATCTGATTTTTATTTTCAATTACCGTCAAAATTAATGATATCTTTAAGTGCATTAAAGATATCTCAAATTGAATTAAATATATCTGAAACGAGTAAATGGTATCTGTAATGCATTTTAGGATATGTATAACTTATTTCAGGATATCTTGAATTGAATTTAAGATATCTTGAAATTATTTCTAATACCATTATGTACAGCAGCGTGGTACTTGTTTAATTATATCATAAATACATTTAAAGATATCACGAAATATTTTGTTGATATCTCAGTAAACATTTTAAAATATCAGTTACTGTATTTTGGATATCAGAAATGAATTCAAGATATCTTTAATTGTAATTTGATGTCTTGAAAACATTATTGATATCTTTTAAACAATCGAAGATATCAGTACTTCGACTTAAAATGTAAAAAGAGCTTGCCCTTCTACTTCTCGAAAGGCCAGACTATTGACTGCCAATATTACGCTAAGTTGCTATGGCAACTGTCTGTGAATATCAAGGCTAAACGTCATTGAAAACTCATGGTATGTCCACCAGGACAATTCAACTGTTCACATGCCGCCATGTGCTGCAATGCATGGCCGTGGCTCTAAAGTTATTGAACATCCTCCATATTCACCAAATTTGGCACTGTGAGATTTCCATTTGAAGTAGGAACAATATGACAAGAATTATGCAAATGATGATGACGTCATTCCTGCTGTGGGGGACCTTTTTACACCACCATGTGGAAGCCTTCTGTACCAAAGAGTAACCAGGTACTCCAGAATCGTTGACAGAAGAGTGTAGACATCAGACATCATTCTTTTGAAAAATAAGCCACGTTTTACCCACCCTTCGAGAGACAAGAGACGTTTGTCTTATCTACGTTGCAAGTGCGGATTAGATACCTATATGTAAGCACTGTTCCTTCCACACTATTCTGAATTCAAAAACTCACTTCAAGGCTGTTTTAGGACGTTTGAAAGTGTCAAAATTCTGTGCATTCGTGGGTGCACTTATATTAATTACAGAAACTGTTTAATGTTGCTGCCCCTTTTTAACTCATTGCGTTGATTTTTTCATCGTCAACCATGTCTTTGAATACGATTTCTATAATTGATGTTGTCTGCTTATTTACTAATTTTGTAATTCTTTAATTTAGAATTTACTGTAATTGAGTTCTGTACTTACCGATTTCTGGGATAAACTGCGTTCCAATTTCGTAATCACCTCCTAACAGGACCCGTGAAGATCCGGGGTAGAATAGGTCATCAGCGACCCATGCTTGCTTTAAAAGGCGACTATGCTTGTCGTAAGAGGCGACTAACGGGACCGGGTGGTGAGGTTCGCTGACTTGGTTGATGCATGTCATCGATCCCAATTGCGTGGATCGATGCTCATGATAATCACTGGATTGTTTGGGCCGGACTGGATTATTTACACAGACCGCCGGTGCGCTGTTAAACAACATACCAACCAACCAACCAACCAACCTCGTAACAGCGTCATAAGTTAACTTCGACACAACCAATAGTGTGCAATGCTTATGTCAATAGGGTCCTTCGTCATTGTCATGTTCTTCGTCCAGATAAACTATCCCCTGAATCTGCACCAACTGAAATAAGCAAGTGTACTATTTTTGTCGGCCTGCAACTTTAGTATAACTGTATTAAATGTGACATCGTCTGGCATTCCGAGTGTTTCTGTGCAGACTTCTTGTTTCTTTCTGTTCTGGATGGCCGAGAAACACAAGAGCCTCATAAGTAAAATATGATTGGATGAGAAATATGTCGTTGTCTTCTTCACTCCTCACTACCACGTGGCGTCTTCTGCTTTTTCTCCCAAGTAGTTCACGCAATACTCTATTCATGGGGGTCTTTTCTCGTTTCGGATTTTCGTTAGAGGCAGTAACCTTGTTGGACAGTCA